GCAGAGCGCAGGACCATATATACATCTTACCATCCCCATTCTAAGCTGTGGCAGCTTCATCATGAGAATGAGGCAGTCATGTAAATTGCTTTTTTAGCATGAAGGAATCGACCTAGGGATCGTCCATGCCATGATAAGATCATGAATGCTCTCATTCTCGAATGTATAATGCCTAAACATGTTAATGAAATTGAATGAACTTTGACATTTACTATCCAGCCGGTCTAGAAATAAGAGGGCCAATGCAATCAAGAAAGGACGTTGAAGGTCTCACACAGTATTGTCAACTAGGCGCTTTTCAAAAAGGATTGCACGCGTTGAGTGCTTAAACCAGATGAAGCGCAGCCAGGGAAGGAGGAAGGGACAACAAGACAAACGCTTAAAACAATGCTGGTCTTCAACAAGCAGAATGGACAAGATCAAATGCACCAGATGTGAAAGAGCTTGGTGTGCAATGAAATTGGCAAACTTTTTCATGCATGTGCTAGATGTAGGGATATGCTTACCTTTGGGTAGCTAGGAATGATGGAATGGACCCTTATAGTAGTCCCTATATAACCCTTACTTAGAGCAGTTTTCATTTCTTTCCATTCCCTCATTCCCAGCTAACCGAATGTAAGTATGTAGGGCTAGAAGAGCAGAGCATAAGTTAGAGAAACCTGTTGGGGAGAAGGAACTGAACAGTGTGATCAACCATGTGAAAGAGCGGTTGGTGAATGATGGGAGACCAGAAACCTATGTCATGACATTTGGTGTGTGTGGAAAGATCAGATATTGATTGACATCAGTTTTGGTTCTGAGGAGAACGATAATCCGGTAAGAAGACACCTAGAGTGTAGTGGCTGATAACATGTGTGATAACATGTATTGATCAATCAATCAACTAACTGATTAGGACACGGAAGACAGAAAGCACCAGCAAGGAACGCAAGACATGCAAAACAGTTAAAAAGTTCGTGTCTGCAGGGAGAGCGAACCAACATCAACAAAAACCGCCTGGCCGACAACACCAGAAAGTTGAATCAGCCATTTTGGGATTAGCCTAGCTTGGGTCTCTTGGGTGCGTGGGCGTGAAGATGATGCAAACTGTGTTGGGGGGGACGGTGGATTGGGTTGTCAGGTTGGTTCTATTCGGGCTGGTGCTGGCTTTCTTTCAGATTCTTAGTAAGACCATCCTTGAAGGTGTTGTACAAAGAGTTTATGCAGACGGAAAGACATGACCATACAGCAGTTCTGCAAGCTTTCACGGTTCAGTAATATAATATACATACCCCGTTTTAAGGCAGTAGTTTCCATTTTCTCTTCCATCATCCCTGTGTAACCCCAATATACTATATAGTAGTTTCCATTTTCTTTTCCAGTATCCCTAGGTAATCCTATATGGGTGGTTGTAAAAATTATGATCCCTTTTTAGGTACCCTAAATAGAGGGATCCAAACAGGGACCCGTATTATAGGGTCCATGAGGCTTAGAGACGGTTGAGCCGAGGCCAAGCCGGAGACTCTGCGGCTCGCTGATGGCTTCGCTCCTAGATAAGGGACAGTAACACTGGCTTCACTAGGTTGCTGCAAAGGAAGTCAGGTGTGCATATGGTCTCCACCTTCCCCCCCGTCCCCCGTATGGTGGCTATATTCTAAGCTTTAAATCACGATTCAAGTTTAACCTGTCCTGTGGCCTGTGGTCTGGGGGTTAAGCGAGATTTGCATTCCCCCCCAGCGATATGGTGGCTATCTGAATCAGGATTCAAGAATAAACCCCCCCACCCCCCATGTGGTCTTTTGGCCTGTGGTCTGGGTCCTGTGGGTTAAATTCAGGTTTAGAAAGGTTTGTACTGTTTCTAGAGACCCTCGACCCCCTGTGACTTATGTGTTGGGTCTTGTTGTTTACATTAGGTTTATGGAGGGGATATAGCAAATTTAT